GAAGAAGAAAGACGACATGGATGTGGATCAGGAAGGCTCCAAGAAGGATTCCGCCGGGACGGAGAAGCCCACGCCTCGGGATACTGAGGCTGGGAAGACAGACCCGAGCGAGATCACCAACTTCAAAGGGGCTACCTTCGAGGAGTACCGAAAGACTGCTCCAGACTATGTGTACAGCGGGGAGGGAGATGATCGAAGGATCCTTCCCAAGAACACTCCGATTGACATGGAGAAATCGTTGCCAGCTGAGGCAGCGCTCCTGATCCCTAGAGCAGTGGCCACGCAAAAGGAGGCTGAGGAAGCCGAGAAGGCCGCGATGGAGGCCATCCGCGGGGACTTTAGGCTCCCTGACGTGGGTCAGGAAGACAGGGAGAAGGTCGACCCTCACACCGTGACGGATGAAGACTTGGCTGCGTCGATAGACGCGTTGACTAGGAGGTTGAGCGACATGCCTGAATGGTCGGGCAATCTGATTGATCCTGCAAAGTCTGCTGAGCTGGTCGCGGCGAGATGGGGCGGAAAGGCGAGTTATGACAAGCCTGAGGCTCCTCTGACTGAGGCTGGGATGAAGAGTGCGTCATTGGAGGATCGAGCTTATGCCCTGTCGCAGCTGAATGAGATGGTGAACTTTCACAAGAAGCACCTATGCTCTGGGCGAGGAGCGCCAATGGTAAGTGCAGCTGCCCCCAGTGGACCCTTTGCTCCTGATCAGGTGGATGAAAGCAGGAGGTTCCGACCGAGTGAGGCGGCAAGCAAGATGACCTACAATCTTGTGGTCCTGGACGGAAGGAAGGATTATCTTGCCGATAGGCGGGAAATCAATCCAGATCTAAGAGGTACTGGGGTTATCCCTGATGAGGCCGCTACATGCCAGATTGTGATTCCCTCGAAGACAAGGTTGGGCGAGTACGTCCCGAACTACGAGGAAACCGCGGGCACCGTTGCAGGGCGGGAGGCGGCTAAGGAGTTGATGAGACTGCTCTCGTGCGATTTTGAAGGTCTGGTCATCAACTCGAAGAGAGTCTCGGAGTTATTCGAGGAACGTGTGCTGAAGGAAACTGGACGTGAGGCTGGAAACTGGGTGAATAGTGACCAGGCCATCTGGTTCCTGAGGGAGATCACGGGCATGGAGAACGCCGAGATGTCGTGGAAGTTCTTCATTCCGACGATCAAAGCTTTCCCGATAGGGCAAGTTGAGGCGATGCTCATGGTCATGCACGATGGGAATGATGTCCTCCTCAAGGAGAGCACTAGGTTAGTGGCCGTTAGGTACACGCGGATCGGACGTGACATGAGCTACAGTGCCGTTAGGCAAAGGTACACCCAAGAAGATGCACCTGGCGGATCTCTGATGTACGAGATGCACTGGAATGAACTCCCTATGGTGGGGTACGTCGTCATGAAGTTCTCGGACTTTAGGAAGGCGGTTCAGCTCCAGAAGATGAGGCGAAACGGAAAGGCCATGATCGAGATATTGATCACGAGGCCCGATGTGTACGAGACCATTGGGGATGGAAGGCAGGATGAAGGCCTGATCCCGCTTGTGGGAACCATGGCGCCGAATGCCGAGGTATCGCCATCGTGGTACGTCAGGGACAGGCTGCGGAACTACTCGGGAAGGTACGTGGTGGTAATCGTGGACCTTCGGGTGCACTGGTCATTGGTTGGACCCGTGTTTCTGACGAGGAGAAAGACCCTTGCCGTTCGGAACGAGATCCACATGGGCGCTTGGAAGGCAGCGTACATGTACGATGATTACACGATAGTGTATCATCGGGCATGGGACTATGGTGACCTTACCCCCGTTAGGGGAGAGCACAGGCGATCGCGTGAAGAGGTCAGGTTGAATGTGACCACCACGTTCTGTTTGAGGTGCGCGGAGATGACGCCAAATGGGATGCATTTGTGCCCTGGGTGTGCGCTCCCGGTCTTCTACCCGAACTTCATCCCCAACGCGGACGAAAGTGACTTCGAGAGGTGCCGCATCGTCCCGGAGTGGGTGAGGAGCATGGGACAGTTCAAGCCCAAGAGGATCCCATCCGAAGTGGTCGGAGTCATCAAGAGGAACTTGATTTCCTATTCGATGGCGTCTGACCTGAGGATGACGGTGCAGAGCGGCATCAGACTGCCCCCTTATCTTGGTGAGGACAAGGGAGGAGTCGATACGGCGTGGGATGAGCTGGCGAAGGTGCTCTTCCAATTCTCCTATGTGTCGGGGATTTCGGCCTCGGATGCATTCGTGGAGAAGTGGGTGGCGAAGCACCTGATTATGACCAACCAAGTCGATAGATTTGAGTCGGTCACTGAGTACTTCCGAGCTAACCCGAGGCATGCTGCTCAGTGGGGTAGGTGGATGACGACTTCCGTTAGGAAGTTCGCTCGCCATGACACGTACTTGTCCTTCTATATCCCGATGGCGTACGTGATTGGCTCCGCGGCGGGGCATCTGACTCCATTATATCCGACCCATCGGAAGGACGTGGACATCCTGGCCAGCCATGCGTTCATATCGGATCTCAGGAAGCACATGGTATCAGAGACAGGGTACGATGAGAAGAAGAGACTGAAGGAGGCGATAGCCAAGGTGCAGAAGGCAATCAGTGCCGGGCAGTCGGAGCCTCCCGCCCCCTTCCGCGACCCATTCGTCTACGTTAGTGACGAAAGGGTGAGGACGGTTCTTGATGGTCGTCAACCGGAGCCATTGAACGTGAACATTGAAGGGCTTCAATCGGTGCATCATGCTGCGCAGGGTCCTGGTCCTAAGCAGGAGCCGGTCGTCAAGGGCGGAAAAGGAAAAGGGAAGAAGGGGGAAAAGGGCGGTAAGGGCGGTAGCCTTTTGGCCCACCACCAAAGTCAGGTGAAGTGCCAGGAAAGGGGTCTGGTAAGGGCGATAGTCCATCTGTCTCACAGGCAAAAGCAAAGGCCGATGCTGGGCCGGCTCCGATGGAGGTTGATGCAACTGTGGCTCAACCGAAGAAGACTTGGGTCGAGATGGTGGTTCAAGGAGCCCGGCCGAGTGCGAAGGCTAAAATGACCCCGGTTCCAAAGGCCGAGCCAAAAGGGAAGGCCGCTTCAGTATCTGAGGCGAAGGATGCTCCGGCTCCGAAGGCTGAAGCTAAGGAGACGAAGCAGGCCGAACCGAAGGTTGAGGTCAAGAAGGAGAAGATAGGCGGAGATGACGCTCCTGGCGGTAGCCGGGGGTCGGCTGAAGGGCAGAAGTGAGAAAGGAAGTCCCGTTGGGATCCTGACGAGACTGTGAAGGAGTCGATGAAGCGAGAGGCATCGACGAGGCCTGATGACGTTGACAGCAGACCAGGTGCGGCAGCAAGAGAGGCTAGTGGGGATGATCTTCACTCTGCGCTTGGTAGGTCTTCGGCAAAGGACGCGGTAGCGCCTCTGACGGCCTCCAAGGCAATGGCAAAGAAGCCTGAAGGCGGTGAGATCAGGTTGCAGTCGGCTGAGCGAGCTGCGGCGAGCCCGGTGGAGGGTCACTTCCTGGTGCTGCCTGAGAGTTCGGTGGTGGACGCTCTCTTGTCAGTCTCCACCAACAGAGTGCTGAACAAGCAAGTCAGGGACTTCATCAGAAATGGTGAGGACGCGTCAGCACTGGAGGCTCTCAACCAGATCGTGACGAACTCTCGCTCTGGGAGGAGGCGTAGGGAATCGTTTCCCGAACTCCTTCTCGGAGGTCCGTTAGGACCGTGGACACCAGGGATTCCAGAGAGTCGAGAAGGCGCAGATACCGTCCGCGGCGCGAGGATGATCGCGACCGGAGGAGGGACGATGCTCGTGATCGTCGTGATGATGATTCACTCGATCGGGAGCGAGATCGAAGGCGAGATGATCGCAGGAGATCCGAAAGGGATCGTGATAGGGACCGTGCGCGGGGCGGACGTGACCGGAGGAGACGTGACGATAGCCGATAGGCTGAGTCACGAGGATTGCGGCCGATAGGCTTGCGTCCATTCTCCAATGGTCGGCGCGGTGCGGAGGTGGTGATGTTCCTCCCGAACCGCTGAGGCGCGGAGATCATGTCTCTCCCATACCGCTGCTGGGCTGCTGGTCGTGTTCATCAGGAAGCAGTGTGAGTGAGAGGGAAAGCAAACTGATGGGGGGTTACTCCCGGGTTTGCGGAATTCAAGCATTTTTCAGGTACGCATGGTCAGGAGTACCTCTTGCCGATAGGCGAGGGTACTAATGGACATACGTTATCTTTTATTTCATGGCTTCTGATAAGAATTAAACTTCTTGCATTGTTGATGCAAACAGTTGTGACCTAGTGTCGTCATGTGGACTTTTCCACAAGGTATGTTGGACAGCGTTACCCCGATTAATTCGGGGTGGTGGCGGGAATTTAATGCCCGGGATGTCGCGCAACTGCCTTTGTGGGTTTGCTCCACCGCTGACGGCGGTAGTGTCCAGCTGTTTGCGGACACATGCGAGCAGTTAAATCCTATCAGTAAATGGCACGCTCCACCCGTCATATGACGGGCTCCTCGTGAGGGGGGTGTGATTAGCCATGGTTAATATCATCATCAGGGACGTCGCGGTAGTGACCGACCTGTGGTGTTTTGGCTCAAGTTTGCGGGTCCGTCGCGCCTCGGATGAGCGTCGCCGGGTCCCCGCGTCGATCACCTTCGTGTCGGTGGAGAAAGAGACATCGGCCCGGGGCAGATTGGTGGGGTCCGCCCGTGCGGTTCATCGTCGATCAAGGTTGCGGGTACTTGTTTACTTGTTTTGGTTTTTCCCTTTTGGTTGTTGTTCTCTGGTGTGTGGGAAACCCTGATCTTTGGGACCGGGGATTGGTTTGCTTTTGGGGAACCTTTCTTTTGTGGCTTGTTTACCCCAACTTACCCATTGCCTGGGCACAGGCTCGTGCCCGAATCACAATATATCACGGTTTGAGGTTGGGCCAAATCTGCGAGGGTATCCAAGTACCAATGCCAACCCAGAATAGCATAGCCCTGAGTACCGGTCACTGGTTGCGGGTATCGCACGAGGAGATGGCCCCTCCAGCCACGCCGGTCCTGTCCGCAAGGAAGGCCAAAGTTGTGACTCGGCGGGCACGGCCTGGGGGACCCTCCTTTGTTTGAAACAATCACACCCTGACTTCAAAGGGAAACCCAAGGGACGACAAGCGAATCAAGCAACATAACTGTTAGCTTAGAATAACGTATGGAATATACCCGTTGGCAGGTGCTACTATAAATGACTTGCCCAAAGCCGGCGTTGCGACCTTTCGACGTTCCATTTCCGGGTGATTCTGTGTCACGAGTCGCAAGGTTATCCTTTTAGTTCCTGGCCCTTTGGTCCCTGGCAGGATGACTTCAGTTTCCCTTTGAACACCAACCAAAAGACAACTGCTTTCCCCACAAAGACCTCACCTCTTCTTTCGGGGCTCAGCGCTTGGGGACGCGGAGGTTTTCCAAGGTTTCCCCCAAGCTGCGCAGCGAGTCCCGGCGCTATGCTGCGCAGCCAGCGGCGCAGGCGGGCGAAAAGGGTCACGGAGTCTTGAATGCATGTGGTCCACATCGGACACGCACAGCCACCCCGGCTCAAAGAAATATCTCCGTGGACTGGCCGAGAACGTGGTACTGGAAAAGCTTATTGCAGCAGATCTGAAAGGAGAGGTCGGAGGTCGGTCTTTTCTGCCTGCTTTCCTGATGCAAGCGCGTGGGAGATGAGGCGTTGCGCTTTGTTTGAGGCTGCGTTGCCCTTCTCGTCTTCCATTTGCGGACCATATAACCTTGGCTCCGAGGAAGTTCAGTCGAACGAATTGGTCAACACGGAAGGTGCCCATGTTGGGCAAAATGGTAGGCAACACCTCAAACACCTTCCGTTGCAGGGGGTCTTCTACCCCCCGCACAGGAACGGTCCTGAAACCCTTCTTAGTTGTTCGAACTTGTCGCGTCTTTACTCCCAGGCCCGAACAAGAAAAGGGTACATATCCATGATACAACTGCCTTTGGGGTTTGGACACGAAAGGGATCCCAGGGGGAATTGGAGAGTGGGGGATGTTCCAACCAGAGATGGCGGCCAGGGACAATTACATTGAATATGGGTTTTGGGAGAGGTTTATCTAGGGTTTGTGGGACATTGCTGCATTTTAGCATATTGATTCCAGATAAAAGGTATCGGATTTCGGACCGTTTGCGGTTATTTCCCAAGGTGTAATTCCAAGCCATATGCTTTTACCCCACTATCATTGCTCCTGGAGATATCTGGAAAACCATGTTCCCGAAAGGACCCCGAGACACTCTCCATGGGCATGGATGTTGGTTGCTCAATTTCGCAAGGGTCGGGGACACGCAAGCACTCAGCCTCTGCAGATCTCTCCTTTCGCTGCCTTCGGAGCCGTTGCAGCCAGTCAGGCGGAGGGGTCCGGGACCGCGCCAAAAGAGGCATTCTGAGTCATTTGCTTGAGGTGATTTTCGGGTGCCAAGGAGCACCTAAGATCTCACATGACATGACGATGGATTTGTCGCACCGGTTTCCATTTGGCAAAGGACAATTGTCATAGCCCGCACCAGCAACTGGACGTGATGAGGGGAGAACCAACCTAGTAGATTGCTGGGAGCTTGCGGCCTGCGTTTCATTTCCTGGAAAGGCCCTCCTGACTCAAGCACCCAGGGGCGCCATGGTCGGCAAATTCTGCCAGGTCGGCAAATTCTGCCACGTTCGCCTTCCTGAGTTCGCCCGACATGATCCTGAGAAGGCCTCAAGGTCTCATAAAGCCACGTTTTGTCAGACCTGAATGCCACAAAGGCGATGGAAGCCCTGGGCCTCCAAACTTTGCCATTTGCCCAAGCATCTCGTAGGGGTTTTCCCAGGTTTTCCCGCTGATCAGTCAACGGGAGGGCCCTCGCGGTTTCACGGGGAAATTGGTTGTACGAAGGTCCCCTTCGTTGAGACGAAACCATTCCCCCTTCTCGTCATGCACTGGCTCCAGGTTAGGCCAGCGATGCAGAAACTGCAGGCGTGTTTCCTTCAGTTGAGCAATGGTGCGGACACGGTGCCCACGCACGTCTTCAGGGACCTTCTCCAGAAGCTCCTGCCGCAGGCGCTGGATGCAACATATGTTTTTTTGGGGGAAAGCGAGCTTGCAACCCCTGATGAAGGATCCTTCAATGGAGTCCAAATATTTCTGTCAGCCAATTTCGCGTGAACAAGTGTGGTACAGATGTTGGGGGAAACCAAGAAAGGGGGTCACCCTGCAACCTGGTAAGGGAAGTCCCGCTGACTTCAAGTCCATCCTAACAGGGTCTGACAGGCCTCTAGTTGATTTGAGTTTATGACAGAAACCGCAAGGCAAGAGTGATTCTTTCTGGTTTCCAGACGCGATTGTTCAGGGTTGGTTCTTGAACGGGCCGGCAATGTCCAAGGCTCGGAGTGTGCCTTTGTTGAGACTGTTGAGACCGGGGGCGCGGTCGTTTCTCATTCTGATTTGGGCTTAGAAGAACTTCGTCGGAGGGTTGTGAGTGATGTTTTGCTAGGGTACATCAAGGTTGTTACATTACTCAAGAAGAGGCATTTTGGCTGAAAGTGTTTCCAACCGAGGGGCTCCTCACTCCTTCAAACTGGTTAGTTGCATGTTGGCTTGTCAAGCTCGCTCCGACATGATAGATCGTGAATGCATGGCGCCGGCATGTTGGTTCCAGTTCCTTTGGGCAGAACATAGTCTGGCGCAGACATCCAAGAAAGCCCGATATATGTTGCGCGGGCTTCAGCTTTCAAGCTTCCCAAAGAAGGAGATGCAACAGACACACCCTGGGTGATGGTTTGTAGTGTGGACCCGAATCTCCCTGTACTCCCCGTTCCGGCTTCCCAAAATTCAAGACCATTTGCGAGTCTTGGTGGAGCCAGGCAGTTAGAAGCAGCTGGGATGGTGCATTTGCATCTAGCGGGAGAAAACCAATCCTGGCCGAGACTTCCAGTAGTGGCCTTTTTCCTTTTTAGACGGGCGTCCCTTGAAGCAACCATCAAAAGCCACAAATCCGCGTGCCCCTTGTCGCTGGCCGAGTTCCTGGACTTCAAGCTTGTTGGGTTCGGACCATGTTAGCGGTAAAAAATAATCATACTAAACAAAACGACTTGTTTAACAGCCAATCCACTCGGTTGGAAGGTGGCCGTATTTCTTTCTATGCCATTTTGGTTGGAACTTGGTTCTGAGGTCCTTATCAACAAAATAAGACCAGCCACAGAAATCCGCGTGTTTCTTTCCGTGGAACCGCTTGGTTCCGAGGTCTCGGAGCTGGAAGTGAACCTCCTGCTGTCGCCCTGCGCAGTGAGCGCCACTCACACGGATCTCCGGCGCCTGCTGTCGGAGCTGCAACTCTCCGCCGAGGACGAGCGGGAGCGCCAGCTCAAGGACGGGCGCCTCGGTGTTCCGGGATGTTCCGGGTGATGGGGAGGACATGGGAACGATACGATGTGTGGAAGCTATATTATATTGTTTATATTCATCCAGTATTATAAGCATTTATTTGTTTGATGTAGTGTTAGTTGCATTTCGGGGGAATTGCAGGAGCATATTAATGAATAAGATAAATGAATGAACTCGGATATTACACAAACTATTGAAGTGCCCAGTTGTCCAGGGGCACCTGGGATGACCTTGTTTGGTGCGCAGATGCTACCCACAGAGGTTTCCTTTGTTCCACTAGGGCTTGGCAACTGAGTTATAAATGTTTCAGGCTTTCTAGTAGCAGTATTACTTTTATTCTCATTATTATTAGTATTAATTATTCTTATTATTATTACTATTGTTATTATTGTTATTATTCTGACATGGCGACCCCAATTGCAACGAATAAAGGAATTTCAGTGAATATTTTGGCTGGTTAGCATGAAAGGACTATCTCTTGGACGATCCCTTCATTTCTTCAAATAGGTAGTGCAAGACGCAAGCCCTGGCAGATGTTTCCGGGCGCCCCCTCGGGCTCATGGAGAAAGACAGCCGGCGAATAACGCAAACAACGCGGTCCTTATGCCATTTGTCCATCCTCAGCTCCGACGTTCGAGTTTTTTCCTAGCATTTCCCCAAGGCTGTTGACTCCAGACAGTAGCCTGGATGTTCCCAGGGAGTTGAACTCCACAGATATAACTTGGTCGTCATAGAAAAGCGTGGGGGGGGAGCTTCTGGTTGAGGTTCATGCGAATTGATGCCAGGAGGCGCGCCGCGAGGTCTTGGCCTTGAAAAATGTGCTGCGGCGCCAGCCCTTGGAATTCACGGTGGGGCAGTACAACATCCTGGCCGGGTACATGGGAGCCTCGGCGATTTTTCTTGGGACCGATCGATTGCTGGCCGCGGCGGCAAATGCGTTCCAAAACCTGTTGACATCCATTTTAGCTCGGCTTTTGGGACCCAGAAACAGCTCCCGGAACTGTCCCATGGTTTAAGTACTAGTTGAAAGTGAGTTTATCTTTGGGCCATTGCAGGGCGAGTTTCCTTTTGAGAGATGCAAAGCTATGCGAAGCCTGTTGAAGGGGGTCGGGCAGAGTCTGCATGGCCAAATAGCCCCATTCCATTTTGTGGCCGGAAGCCAGGTGGATGCTTTCTTTCCAACTTCTTGGGAACAGGTGGGAAGTGCGGCAAGTCCTCCATTGTTCATTTTAGACTCGGTTCATTGGAGGTCAAAGGACCTTCTATAGCCATCTTGGAAAAGCAATACTTGACAAAAACCGAGCATTGCTCAAATGGCCCCATGCCCGAGTTCCCGCTTTTGGGGCCAGGTGTCCCATTTGTTTAGTGCCGGGTCCGTCAAAATTAGCGGCATTCGTTTTGCCGGCCAAGTGGAGCCACAGTCTCAAATGTACTCGCTTTAGTCATGGCGGGGCGGTTTGGTATCTCTCCTGTCTTCCCCAGGCGTAGTTGAGCAACACGCACGGCGACTCACTTGGTCAAGGTTGAAAATATGTTTCTGATATCGAGGATGCCATTTTCGCGCCTAAGCATCTACGTCTACGTTTACAGGTATCCCACTTTGGCAGCAAGCCGTAGTCAATAAATGTTTGTTTTCCCCACGTGTGGTGCACTTGTTTCCCAAACTTAGCAAGTGAGACGGACATCTCGTCGTGGCATTTTGCCTACAGTTCTAGGGGTTGATTCCCCATTCTTTCCAACCATCGTTCTTTTCAAAAACCATCTGTTTTCCCTGGGTTTCCAGTGGTTTTCTAGAAAGAAGGATCCCTGCAAAGAATGGGGAAGGTACCCCTAGAACAGTACAATCACAGCAGGGTTCCATTCCTTCACAGTCAGGCACAGCATTGTGCTTCTTACCTGCTTTCAAAAGACACTTTTCGGCGAACCACGGATCGAATCATGTGCAATCCGTGTGGCAGGAGGGACGGTCAATCATAGCGATCTTTCAAACTCGTGAATATACCAGGCTTCCCGTGGTCCAACATTGACCGCACACACCCGAGTAGGTCTCAAGAATGTCTAGGGAAAGGGCAGAAATTGGTTTTGAACTTCAAGAAGCGCAAGTTTTAGAAAGCATGTGTTCCCTTGTTGTTTGACCCTTCTTTAGGATTTACCAGGGGTCCTACAACCATCCCCAAAAACCTCGGGCTGAGTGAACTCTTGGGACATTGGGGTAGTCTTTTGGATAAGGTCCTGAATTGCCGTGCAAACAAGTTGCAGTGGACACAGGCAACAACATGGAGCCGTGGTTCCTCTATGGCATCGACATGTCGGAGGCAGACGGGAGAGCTACTGTCACGAGGATAGGAGGCGTCAATAAAATGGGCAGCGCAATTCCCTCACTGATTCTTAGCCAAGAGAATGATAAGACACACAAAATCCAATGTGCCACATGCCAAGCGCACGTATTCTAGAATAATCATTGACCTTATATCCCCGAGAGAGGCCGCCCTGCTAGTTTTCACAACCGGGGAATCCACACTAGGTCCTTTTCCCAAAGGAGATTCCAATCCTTAGCATATTATGGCGAGTTTTTACCTTGACCAAGGGAGCTCATACAGGTTTGCCGAACACGGTTCCCTTCTTTCAGGCTTAGGTTTGGATAGAAACCCGCAGATGGATGGGTGTTCTGGCTTCCTTTTCAGCTGTGTGAAGCTTCAAGCCTGAAGAGATCCCCCCAACGTCATCGCTCGGATCGCCTGACCCAGGTGAGTTTGTCGTTTTTTTGATTTGCTGGTGGCCGGTTGGGGGGAAATCCACCTGAGGGAGAAGCACCACTTTTGGGCAATCCAAACATGGGACAATGTGCCTGGCTACTGTTGGGCAAAATCGTATCGCTTTCGGACGATGGAATTTGTGTGGCTCTTTGGTTGAACCTTTAAACTCTCACTTTTTGGGAAACAGATCGGATTTTCCATTGGATCCACAACTGATTCACATTTTGCCGGGGAGGTGTGAGGTCCCACTCGACTCGACTCGTTCCCAGGCCCGGCGCAAGGAGGTCTTTCGGCTCCACGGGGCGCGGGGCAGCGACGGGAAGCCGGCGAACCCGGGCTGGCCCAACTACGTGCGGGGCATCTTGACGGAGGAGGAGCCCGGAGGTCGGAATGTGGTGATGGGCTGCCAGGTTTTGGCAGATCTCTTGGTTCTAGCTGGGAATGGCGAGGGTTGTAAGCTGGGAATGATTTTAAGCAGGTTGTTTCTAGCTGGAAATGGCGAGGTTTGTAAGCTGGGAATGATTTTAAGCAGGTCGTTTCTAGCTGGGAATGGTTGTGATCAGAGGGATGGCCGGAAAAAAGAAAAAGAACTGGAGGACAGCTGGTTTAGGGCGATGTGGCTTGCAATCCAAAGTTTTAAAGCAAGCTGTGGGCTACAAGTCGCTGAAAAATGGTTGTCTCTTCACCACGGAAAGAAGGTGGGGAGTTCGGGCTCTACCCTTAGGGCGCGCAGGATGGCGGTGTCCAACTCAGGTAACCTGCCAGGGTTTCTCCAGCATCTCTTGTGCGTCATCCCTTTCAGGTAGCGTCCCCGTTGGACTTCTACACTCGCATGTAAGTCTATTTTCTGAAACCGGAGCTTGAAGACAGAGATCCCCCCGCCACCGCAACTCCCAAAATATCGAACGGGTCTGTGGCTGCACCTGGGTTAAGTTGGAGCCCTGCCTTTTGGGGACTTGGTTTTTCGAACCCCCTAAGGGCCGATGAACCAAAAACCGTGGAGGTCAAAGACATGCTCAACACAGCTTTCCCCAAAGAAAGACACACCCGCGTATTTATACTTATATATATATATATATTTGCACATATATATATATATACGTATATGCATGTGCAGATATATATATATATATATATGTTTCTCTCTCTGTCTCTCTCTCTCTCTCTCTCTCTCTCTCTCTTTCTCTAAATATTTTGTTGAGCACTGTTTCATTGGAGCCACCTTTGCCAGGAGATCCGACGGGTGGAGGAGGTGCACCGAGAGCACTTTGACTGGCCGAACCGCAAGGATCGGCTGCTGGAGGTGATCCGCGACATGGACGTCGCTCGATCCGCTCAGAAGCATGGAGGGGGTCCCCAATGTGTCTCCCAACCATTTGGGGAAGGGGTGGAAGGGGACGCTGCAAGGGTAATGTGTTGGGAAAGGTACTAAGGAAACCGCTCAGTTTGGCACAGGACTCTATACTTGGTGTCCCCTTAGCTTTTTGGCCTTTTAGTGTTTAGTGGTAGGTTTTATTTAAACCACGAAAAGTTAAACTTTCAGCGGGGGACCTAAGGGCAGCCCAGAATACACTTTAGAATCAGAGCCATAGCAAGGGGCGCAGCAGCCTATGAGCGACGAGCAGCGACTCCGAGGGCCACGGACCATTGGGCCAAGACACTCGCATGGCTTCTTTTCTGCTAGCGTCAACTGGGTGTTTCCTAGATCAGTGAACCCAAACCTGGCATTTGCGGGTTTACGTAGTGCTTAAAATTGTCCAGGTGCATCCCTGGATCAGTATTGTTCAGCATCCTTTGGCACCCCAGTTGTCCAGTGGCACCCTCTAAATCCCTTTCTCATTGTGTTCCCCACTAATTTTAACCCCGGATCAATAAACCCCTGGTTGATTAATAGGGGGGTGTCCCCTTTTGGTGGGCATTCATTACTTTTGGAGGGAACCCCCCCCCAATAATGGGACGAGTTTATTAATCCTGGGTCAACATGGCACCAAAAAGTGGTCCAGTGGCACCCTCTAAGTCGACCCAAAGCAAGAGCTCCACATCTTTTCCTACCGTTCGGCACGCTCAGGTGGATATCCTGTCCTTGGTGGAGTGCGACCACTACGAGGCGCGCAAGCCGAGCCAGAGACCGGGCGATTCACAGGGGCCGTCTCTCACTCGGAGTTCCTGAGCAAGTTCCTGGATTTGTTCAGCCAGTCCGCTCAACATTCCCTGAAGCGGGCGGAGGTGCCAATTCCTTTCGGGGCTTGGTGATCTTCCAAGAGGAAGTTTGTTTGATTTCTTGGGACTGGCTCAGCTGTGGAAGCTGTTTTGGGTGAGCGGCCAACCCAACGCCAAAGAGTACTCAAAGGGTACGCAATGCACAGGGTTATCCCATTTGGCACCCTGGTGTCTACGAAAGAAGCTAAGCCAAAACGAGCTCCACATTAGTTGGCAAGCTGGCACTTGCCGCGCTTGTCTCTTGGGTTGTTACAGGCTCCTTTGCGCAGGGCGCAGGGCGTCCTTGCTTGCGAGAACGAACTTGTTTGATTTCTGGATGAAACCAACATTGGCCACCAATTGCATATCGATGAAGTGGTTGTTGCCGGCGTCCGCCTACAGTTGCCGTGTGCTCGACTTTGCTGGAAGTACACCGTCGTGCTCATTCGAACCAAGCCCCTCTTTGGCAGGTAGCGGGCAGTCTTTCCGCAACGAGTTCTGTTCTTTGCTCAAGTTGTTCAACATGCATCCTCGCACGCAGACCGTAGAGTTTGCGCCGTGGTTTCCCGCCATGTAGCTCATCTGGACAACTGCTCCAACTAGCTTCTTGCCCAGGTCCAGGCCAAGGTTCTTCACCTTGGGCACGTGGCAGGTTGTTTGATTTGTTTCTTTGGTTCTTGGTCCCTCCCTGTCTTTTTACAAATGCACTTCCTGCGAGGCACGAAGCCGCTAAGCCGTATGTCAGCCCAGTTCGCTCCCCCTGCGAAAGTGGGAGCCGAGAGATCACAAGAACAGGCGAGAAGATGCCTCTGGAGCCAAGACCCAGCGCAGCGCCCCTTGCGGGTCTTGCTGGAGGTGTGGTGGTCCCACGTTTGCGGCCTGCACCCTCACCAGCTCTTGGCCCGCTCTTCGGGCCAGCTTTCAGCTTTGACCCGCTCTCCTCCGCGAGCTACAGCCTGCCTCCTCTCCCAATGGTTGTCGTTCAAGGGCGGCTTTCTGCCCGTCACAGAGCAGAGGGGCGTCTTTGTGTCCGCCCCCATCTTCCTCACTCGCAAGGAGAAAGACTTGGGGCGCATCGTTGGCCGAGCCCAGCTCTCATGCTGGGCAAGCCTTCCAAGCATACCATGCCTTTCCGCCGCTGCGCATCCACAACTTCACCCGGCCTTTCCCTGCCCACACGCGCGCAAGAAGTGGCGCACAGCGGCCAAGCACGTGCCAATGAACCCAAGTTACCAGGTGGCACATAGCCGCCAAACATATTAGAAGGAGCAAACGCTGACAAAACGGCCTGTTTTAGAGCTCGCGTGTCAAACTCTTACTGTTTGCGGACTAAATCCTGCGTCGCGCCCTTGGTTTCAGACTGGGCGAAATCCTGAGCCACCTTTTGTGAATGCCAACATTGAAGAAGGTGAGGTGTGCTTAGTTGTGAAATCGGGGCGAATGCCCGACTGCAGGACCACTTCAAGCCGGCCCTCGAGGAATTGGGCTACGACTCCACCTGGCGCAAGCGGCCCCGACCCAGCAGTGCCGATGGGTGCTGTGTGGCTTGGCGCCAGGCGCGGGGGTTTTTGAGTGCTGCGTGGCGTCCTTCGGTTTTGCTTATGGAGCCCTCAAGAAGTCCCTACTGATTTAGAGGTTGTTGGAAAGCAGGTTTAGATGTATCCTTCAGGGGAAAAGGAAAAGTTCGAAAGCAAGTAGTCGTATCATGATGTAGCATGCCCTTCTAGATGTTCTAGCTGTTGCTTTAATACCACCAAAAGCCCTCGAACATGGAGATCGTAAATGCCAATTGCGGACTCTTTGGTGAACCTTGCTTTGTTTATTGCAATCTTGCTGGTTTCGCATTTAGTGTGTTTGTGTGTGTGTGTCGCATACCGTGGGGGCTTCTAGCGCATCCCCAAGATGCCTTGATGTAGACCCACCATGTTTAGGCCTTCCCATGAAAAACAACATTTGTACGTTGCTGCCCTGGGAAGCCCTTTGTGAAGGCTTTTCCGAAAGATGTAGCTTGACAGGACATACCCCTAGTTTTCGACGCTAACCTGCAGAAACATTCAACACTGTGGACCTGCAAAACAAGGACATCCCACAGTATCTGGGGTGCTTCACAGCTGTTTTCAACGGTTTGACCCCTTGAAAGGACAGCCAACCTTTTTTGAGGGGCGTCCTTTTCTACCCGGGAAGCCATGTGTATAAGGAAGCATGAGGCCAACCCCATAGAACTGTTTGAGCAAACTCAACCGCAGGGTTGTTCTTTACGGGATACCGGCTGGAGTGGGCTGCAACACACAGATTTGTATTGCTCGACATGCTTAAACCAAGGGTTGGATGTGTGTCTTACTTGTGTTCCTTCAGAACCCTCCAAAAATGGTACCCTCAAACGGGGATGCGCTCACCAGGGTCCATAAATGGTTGTAAAGGGTTTATTCCGACATTCTCATCATGGAATACCAAACCTTTTGTCAGGCTTTCGGTGGATTGCACAAAGACTGTTTCTGGTGTTGAACACAGCCCAACCTACTGGCCGTCACATGTCAAGGTCTTGAGTTCATGCATTTTGACCCAGAAGTGACCCCAAACAAAAACCGCTCTGACACCACAACTGTCCTTAGCTAGCGGCACGATCTCTTATGGCTCCCGCTACAGAGTGGGCCGCGGGGTGGAGCTGTTGTTCCTGGAAAGGCTTCGGGCTTGGTACAAGATGACAATCAACGACCGGCATTCAGCAGATAACAGGAACTGCCACAGCAGCTTCTCAACAACCGGCCGTTCATCAGCTAACGGAATTCCATCAAGGACGGGCCCACATCGGTCCACGTACACAGGGCCCAATTGTGTGCTCCATGGGAAAGAACAAGGATGCAGCTAGTCAACTCACATCAAAGTCACCAGGTTGTCTTGTAGAAGGGGCCTTTGCACAGGGCCATGTTCCTTGGCGGGCACAACCAGGGAGGCCCTTTCCATGAACAGTAAAAAAAAACAATCAACAAAGAACACACACACACACATAAAATTCCTAGGGCCTTTTTTCATCAACACACAAAACTCACAATTCCTAGGGCGTGGGTGTATTTTTTTTTAAGAAGGCAATGTATAGGGCGGCTCATGACCTCCGCCTCCGGTCCGGCATCGAATAGAAATTTCCCATCTGCCAGGGCGTCTTCGAGATGCAGGCCGAGCAGTCGGTGGAGTTCATCGATAAGCTCTGCCCCAAGGAGGCCAGCTGAACTCCGTTTCCGGATGCCCGGCCTTTTCTAAATGGAAGTGGGGGAGGGAGGTGGCCCCTGGAATTCCATTTATGGCTTCCTTGTTCCCTTTTGTGGGGAAGACTAAATAGATGGAATTGGGGGACCCCCCACCCACCCCCCCCCCCCCATAAGGTAGGGGGTATATTTCCGGCTTTTGACGGCAGATTCCACGGTTGGGAGAGGGGTTGGAATCCTATGGTATGGGTCGCCAGGCTTATAGGCTTTGGGTTGAATGTTAAGAATCTAAGCATATTCTCTTCGAAGGCCAACCGTGTTTGGCAATCCCAAGCAAGTCCTTTGACCATTCGAGAAGTGTGTGTGTGTGTGTCCTATGCTATGGGTTGCCAGGGATTTCCCTGTGCATAGTTGTGGGTCCGCGTGCAGTGGCTAGTGCCAGTTGGGCAAAGCTGGCTTTGCGAGGGTGTTTCACGGGGTTCTCCATATTTCAGTCTTAGATTTTTCAAGCAGTTGTGTCTTTTTGTGGGCGGTCATATTTAAAGCGGAAATCTCGTTGGATTTTTGCTGCCCTGGCATGTTCTGTGAGCTAAGTGAGACCCCTTGAAAGCGATGGCGATTGGTGTATTGGTGTTCACTTGTTTGCAATCGTCGGAGTGCCCTTCAATAGCCTCTTTGTTGTTTGTCAATACGTGCATTTCAGCCTGTTCGCTTGAAGAGGCTTTGCGCCAGGCGAGGAGGGACGAGAAAGCTAAGGTTCAAGAATCGGTCGCCTGGTAACCACCCGTGTTGTTTTGTCGTTCTTGACGGTGCCATGGTTGTTCACAAGGCACGCCAACCGAGTTTCGGCACATTTTCGTGGTGGATCCCTCAGGGGTCACCGTTGGTTGTTCGAGGAGATATTTTGTAGGTCAGGGTCAAGGCCAACTACTTCCTTGCAGATTCACATGGAACCCCACAAAGCGCAAGCCGTCGGGCTTCTTTTCTGGAGGACGCCTTTTTGGAGGTCCACGTGAGCGCTTGTAGGGGAGCATAGGAAGGATTTCTTAAATGTGGGTTGAATGAATTTGTAGGCGAGCATAGGAAATGAATATTGCAAGTAGGCAACAGGGACCGTCATCACTCAGCTTGGTTTCTCTTTGGGGTGCTCGCAATACCCCTCCGAATGCTTGATGTTCTGCCTGTAGCAGAGGATCTGATGCCCTACGGCAGGCTGCCAGCACTATGACACCTCATGTTCTGGATGAATTATAACGACCTCACACGACCGAATTCACCCCAAATGGTGGTTTATGTTGGAATAGCCCCGCAACCACCTTGTTTCAATGGTGAAATATGATAATTCACCCAGTCATGTGGTGATAGCGTGCTGTTTTTTGGTGTTACCCTGCTGACTGTCAATATGGTACCGACACGGCAAACATGTTTTGTTGTTTTCTTTTCTCCCGGGATCGGCCCCCTTTTTGTTATGCCTCTGCACCAGCTGCGAATTTAGACGGAGTTTCATAAACGGGGCTTACAAAAGGAGTTTGCGCTAAACACGGTGGCTTTGTAGGTTCCATACCAATCGCAGGAGAGTAAGCTTCAGGTGAGGTCTGTTAAACAACCCCCAACATGCAATATACATCCCCACCCTCTTAAACCGAATTTGGCAAGGCGGTGAGAGGTCTTTCAACTTTCATGTTTTGCGGGATAGACTAGGCAGATAGGCATGGCAGGAACTCCGCACCCCTGCTGGGGAGATGAAGATACCGATGGAGATGGAGATATCGGATACCCAAAAAAGGCACAGATGGAGATCCCCCAAAAAGGCCTTATAACACCCCCCCCCTCCTATGGAACCTGAGGAAGGGTTGAAAGACCACTTTCTTTGTGGGGACGCCCCCTTCCACTTCCATTTTTTCGGTCTTAGGTGTTCGGTGTGTTTTCGTCCGCTCAGGGCAAGGTGTACAAGGACCGCATCGCGGTGATCGCGCTCCTCCGGTCCTGCGTGGCAAAGCAGAGGGCCGCGCGAGCTAATCGGAGCCATGTGCTGAGGGCCCTTCGAACTGCTAATGTTGACCCAGGATCAAGGATCTAAGTAGAAACCGTCCCACTATTAGGGGGGGTGTTCCCTCCAAAAGTGATGAATCCCCACTAGAATGGGGAGACCCCCCTATTAATCAACCAGGGGTTTATTGATCCGAGGCTAACATTATTGGGTTGGATCTTGAGACTTTAACTTTTTGGTTGAAATTAAGTTGGGTTTTCCACTAAACCCCCAAAAGTTCTCAACTTTTTAAGTAGGGGGGTCAACAGCAACCAAGTTCAAGGATGCATCCGGGCAAGTCAAACAGTCACTTTTACTTTCGATATTTCGAGGATCCTTCATAAATTGTAAAGCAGGTAGTTTTGGGGATGCATCTTTTAAGGAACCCTGTTCTAGGGGGTGGTTCCTGATTCTTTAAAACCATACTTACTTTTCAACACCACAGCAGTTTCCGCGTTTTGCTTGAAGGAAAGCCGGATGTATCCGTATAGATGAATTGGTTTGAACCTGTAAGGGGGCCTGATGTTGACACCATTGCGGATCTCTTTTGAAATGCACATGCACTTTAATTTAGAAGTTGTTTAGTTCAACTTCACCCAGTCTTATGTTCAATCAGTGCATTCGGTCCATCTGGGCAACAGGAGTGCCATGGGCCCAAATGGGACCCAAGTTGCGCCCTAGGTCTGCCTGGTGTCCACCCACCTGCAGCGCAATCCGGAGGACCCGGCGCAGGACATGCTCAGGGCTAGACAGGCCGGCAATGCGGAGCGGGTGGGGGGTGTTGGGGTTTTGGTGAGCCTGGCTGTGGTGTACCCTTCTTTTGTTTACCTCTCTTTTCTTTTGGGGGGGCCTAAGTAAAGAAGAGTAAAGCCTCGAGCATGGGAACACACGAACATCACCTTTTAAGCATAGAAATCCTTTAGCCCGGTTTGGTTGAACACAGATATATTCGATGATGACTTACCAATTAGTTCTCTAAAAGACACTTAGATTGGGGAGCCTTAGCCTTTCTCATTTGCCTTTACTCTAGCTCACAAAGATCCAAAGATTCAAAGCTAGCAAAGGCCTTGCCCCAACCAACATGTACCAAAGGAAAGCCACCCCAAAGTGTGGATACTTGCGCCAGCCTTCCATTTGCCCAAGCAAATGCACCTTGACCATTCCAATTTTGCCCTAAGGTCCTAAGGGTTCACCTTTGGTTTCCGGGCCCTCTGGGGTGGGGAGGAGGTCCCCTTGTTTCATATGCAGCCAAAGAGCAATGTGGTCTTCTGGTATAATTTTGCATTTAGTTGGCTTTGGATGAATCAGAAGCTGACCAAATGAGTTTTGGTTGGCCCCGGCAGCTTAGCAAGTCTGTTTTGTTTTTTTTTCATTTTGTGTGGTCTGATATGGGGTACGCCCGGCTTTCACGGCAATGGTGGGGTCCTGCAAGTTGGAGCTCGATTGATCTTGGGACTGCTTATTTAGTTGAGCTCGTTTGCCTGGGGTAAGACGCTGCTTACTATGATGTAGGTCCTTTTCGTACGAATCCCAGAAGTTTTCGGTTTTGATTTGTTGGACCATAGCGGGGACTGGTTGGCGGGGCTTTGCAATACGTGTGTCTGAGTACATGATACACTTTGTGGGGGAGGTCCCAGCGGGGGGGGCTGGTTG